TAGGGTTAAGGATTCTTGACTTCGAGCGATTATTCCTGTTTGAGGCTTGATTTATGACGTAAGGACGAGCTGACGATCCTTTTTCTTTAGTTTTGGCGCTGCTTGACTCTACGAGTTCCGTTGATCTTTTCTTTTCAGGCTAAAGTCTCATCTATCCTTACCGATTTTAAAGGAATTCTCGTGATGAATCCCGTGCATACTCTCCCAAAATGCCCAAAAGTCTTGACCTAGTCGGTTAGCTAAGCGATTCTTCTAGGGCGCACTTCCAAATTCTTCCCATATTCTATTAGGAGTCAATAAACTTCGGGTTGACTTTCTCTCCTTATTGAATTTCATCTCTTCTTTGGTGAGCAAGACTTCATGTCCTCCCTGGAGTTCGGCTTGCTGTACCTTTTGTGTTACTCGTTTTTAGTGAAGGCGCCTTTGCATGTTCCTCTTCTTCTTGAAGTGCAGCTGGTTACTTAACCTTGTTGCGGAATGACTCGGTGACTTTATGAGTCATCTTATTTCCTTGTTGGTCCTTTAAAAACTCTTGATGCCTTGGCACCAATGTGCTCTTTACTCTTTCCTTAGCACCACGAACAACGGCACTCTTGATTTTTCACAACTTGTAAGGGGCCCTCTGATTACTCGAACGATGTCCATGGTTGAAGGAAGCCTGGTCCATCCTTAGCGCTTGACTTTAAGGCATTTGTAAGTCCTTAGCACGAGCTCCCAACTCGACTCTTTGGTTTGTACAATTCCTCTCGTCACCCATCCCTAGTCGGTTGCATCGTAGAGTCCAACTACAACTTCCATGTGTAATGTAATTGGTGGTGTCTTTTCGAAGGCGTCTTGCGGGTCAAGGTCTTTTACCAAGGTCACCACTTTAAGGCAACCCCTGATTCCTTGCCCAAGACTTGCGTTCATCGATCGAGGCACACAAGTGCGCAATGGATCAATAAAACGAGAAGTCAAGAAATCATCATACTGTACCAGTGGGCACGAGGTGGGCGGTCGACCGCCTGCCAAGGTCCTGTCAGGATCCCGTCAAGGTCCCGTTGGGGGCCCGCTGGAACGCGATTGTGAAGAGGGAATCTCTTCGGGAAAAAGTCTCGAAAACGCACAACTTCAAGTCTAAACACTTCCACACTCTTATGAACAACAAAAGGGGCTTGAATACATAGAATGACTCATCGAACAACGTTGTTGCACCCTAAACACGAGTTCTGGATGAGTCAATATTTTCGCATGTCCTTCATTGTTGCTTAGTAGGTCGTGTCTGGTTTCCAATTGGCAACCTCGTAATCTTCACAGGGTAGTCGGTTATAAACCAACATTATCTTTTCCTTGCCTTAATCAGTGGCAAGCCTCCTTGGCAAACTAGACTTAGGCACGATAAACGGAGTCCGTTTGGACACCACGAGGGTCGGGGAAACCCCCATCCCACATTGGGAATTTCCAGCGGGTGGTCCGCTGGCGGCGAGACTGCTGGGCAGCGGGTGCCCGCCTGCCCGCTGGCAGCCCGCTGCCGGCGACGCCCTTTAGGGGCAGCGGGTAGGTGGCGGGTTCCCCTACCCCCCACTGACTCTTTTTCAATACTCGGGTTCCGGGATCTTTTGTGGAACCCGAAACCATGTTTAGACACTTTTAAACCCAAACGACAACACCACGTAGTCAAATAACGGATCAAATTCAAGAACCACATTGAACATATCCTAACATGACTTCTAAACATAATCAATACCCGAACATGCGAATTCCCACCCAAATATACCAAGAATATCACAATACGAAATTCACGATTCAACCTAGGGCTCTAATCATATTTAAATCACAAAATCATACTTTATCTTTAAAATCAAGAACATCAAGATTTATCAAGAATCAACACACCATTATCAAGATCCTCTTATAATCGTCAAGATTATCAAGATCAATACATAAGATCATCTCATCAACATCTAGATCATATCATAATCATCATAAAAGATTTATCAAGACACAAGCATAGAGAAGGAGCATGATGAACCGTTGGTGGCTGTTGCTGCTGATCCCACGTGTTACACTCAGGCCATGCGTCATCTGATGTGGCGTTTGGCCATGGACCAGGAGTTCAACGCCTTGCTTCATAATCAGACCTGGAAGCTGGTTCCGGCATGTCCTAGTCTCAATGTTGTTGGCTGCAAGTGGGTATTCCGGACGAAGCGCAAGGCGGATGGGTCGGTTAAGCGGTACAAGGCTCGGTAGGTTGCGAAGGGTTTTACTCAGATTGCCGGGGAGGGCTTCAACTCATTTAGAGATAAGAGTCCTAAGTAGAACGGTCACGGATAATAGGACTCTAATAAGTTGTAACTCTCTAGGACTCTATCTCTTAGGATATCTCTTGTATATTGTTCTGTATTGTATTACGTATTTGTTAACCGTGAATACAGTCGATACTCTCTCTCTCTCTCTCTCTCTCTCTCTCTCTCTCTCTCGTATTCATCATGGAAACTACCCGCGTTTTTTTCAAACTGCGACTATTTTACTTAGAAATGGTCGTGGATTCTTGTTCAAATATTTACAATTTTACCACCGCAAATTTTTTTTGCAACAATAGCCTACCCTTCTTTTAAAAACAGTAGCGAAAAGTCAGTCTCCTATGTTCTTTTTTTTGTACGTGTGTGTGTGTATGTGCGTGTGTGTGTGTATCTATATGTTTGGAACTTTAATGATGTAAGAAAAATTTTGTATAATAAAATAAATAATAGTGTAATATTTATAAAGAGAAATTTCAATTTTGGTCCTATGACTAGAAGGGCTTTGTTAATTTCAGCACCTGACTTTCAAAAGTGTCAATTTAGTACCTTGAGTATATAATTTTTGTCAATTTTAGTCACTCCGGCCAAATTGCCAGCCAAATTTGGCTGGAAAACCTTAATCCAACATTTAGTCTATAATTTGAGGGACAAAATGGTCTTTTGATCCTTTCTCCTAATTGGCCGGAAAACCGCCTTGGCTTTCTTGCTTTCCGGCTTCATCTTCTTGTAATGCTGAAAATCAGCGATTTTCCGACCACCAAAAAGTGGTCGGAAATCGCAAAAATTGAGTCGAAAACCCCTGTTCCGACCACTTTTGGAGTCCGCAAAAACGGTTATCAGAATTTCCGACCACTATATAGAGTAGTCGAAAACACCAACCACGAAAATAGAGTATTCGGAAAGTTTTGTCGCAGGGGAAAGTTGGCTGGTTGACATTTGGTGGTCGGAAAATGTAATTCGTATATACGCAAGTGAAAAATATTTTTTAAAATTAATTTTTAAAAAATTCATTTCGCTGCTCAATTAATTTAATACATATTATATATCTTGCAATAGTAATTTTAAAGAAATAGTACTTTTATAACAATGTAATATTACCAAAAACTAACAATTTTAATTGCATGTTCACAATTCAAAAAGTAGTAGCTACTTTACATTTGAAAAAGTAATAGTTACTTACAATTCCAAATATTTCAACATTAACATCACAAGTTCTAACAAGTACTTAGTCAAGATTATCTAACCCAACACCACTATGATTGCTATAAACTGTAGGAGCAACAGATTGTTAACAACTCCGGATGTGCACCACATATGCCTTGGAACAACTCCATAATCTTCTTATTTTGCTCTTTAATCTCCTCGTTGGCTTGCTCTAATTTTTTAATTCTTTCCTCACAAGCTGCATGTGAGGATGATTCTCCATGTCCCAACTTTTTTTGCCTCACTGTCTCGAGAAAGTAGTTTTGGGTATCTGATCCAAAACCACACACATAACCTCCTTTTTTTAGACCACCTGTTGCCTCATACCAAATAGTTTCTTGGTCAAGTTGTGGTTTAGTTTGCTGCCTTTGACTTGCAGTTTCCTATATTGATAGACAATTTTTTAAAACTCATATATTAGCAAATGTTAACTAATAAGAAAGCAAGTTTCAATTTGAACAAATGAATCAAACATTTTCACATTTCACTCATATATAACAATGTAATAGTTCACTCATATATTAACAATGTAACAAACTCAAATTTTACAGTTCACTCATATTTTACAGTTCACTCATATTTTACAGACCCCCATCTAAACACAAATATATTCAACGCTACACTAGTTATATACCCTGTTGCATTAAAATTATTAATGATCAGTGAACCATTTTACAGGAATTAAATTCCAGTAAACTGGTTCACCAATAGAAGTGAACCAGTTCTGGTTCAGTAGACCACCCCTTCGCTGGAATGAAATTCCAGTTCATTCTAGTGAACTGGTTCACTGGAATTTTTGAAGGGGTGCTCTGGAACTTCATTCCAGTGAACCACCCCTTTACTGGAATTTCATTCCAGGAATTTCATTCTAGAAATTCCAGTAAACTGGTTCGAACCAATTTAATTTCATTTTACTGGTTCGAATCAGGAATAACACTTGCTTCAAGCTGGAAAAATTAATGAACCCACTGTAAATTATAGAAACCTACAAGAAAAGACCAAAATACAGCAGCATAGACCCATAGACCCACATTTAGCATTTAGAGCAGCCCCACATTCTACAATTTACTATCTAAATTTCATGAACAATTCAAGCAAAACACAGTCAAGGATATGTAAAATCATTTGGAAATATATAACTATAGCATAGTTTTATATTTAATGATAAGAGATAATAGGAATTGAGATTCTTACCATGATTTGTTGATATTTTTTGCACACAAACTCACCGATTTTTTTTTTTTTTTTTTGCGTTTGTGTGTAGCACTGTAGCTTAAAACAAAACAGCATGTGAGGGCTTCTCTCCGAGCTTTTCTTTCTATCCAACAATAATAATTCAATAAACCATACATTAATGTTATTGTTAAAATTGGAACTGTATTTAAATAGTATTAAATGACTTACTAATCTTCGCCTAAACTCAGTAGTCGAGATTGAACATCCCGTGTGCAGCGACGGTCTAATTCCCCACAATCTGAATTTCTATTCTTTTTGCTCTTCTCGCATGTCTTTTTAAATTCTTCCTTGTCCTAAATGCTGTGATACTGAGCCAGAACCGGAGCAGACATCCATAGCGGTGGTGATTCACCATTTGCTAATTTGACGCGCACCTGTCCCAATTTGTCAGAAAGTCTTCTGGCAGCTTTTTTATGATATATATTCTGGATGGCCGCTTCATCTTCTGGATTCCACTTACAAGCTTTCTTTGATAAAATTTTTTTTAAAAAAAAAACAAATTGTAATTAGTAAACATATGTAAGAATTTTTGTCTCAATTGCAATTATACCGTGATTTACCTTAAATTCATTAAACCACATATCTTTCATTCTTTGAGGCGCACCGTTGTACGTCTTGACAGCCTCGGGGAAGTACCGGGTGATGCTTTCTATGATAAGTTTTATGCCCACTGCAAGGTTCAAACCTAAATCAATAATGGCAAACTTAGTATATTGATGTTCATCATGATTATAATTTCATTTAACTCACATTGAAATATGTATATTTAAAAATGAATGTTTCAAGACTTACGCTTTTGTGCCAATGGGACGAATGAAGATCCTATTGTCGTTTGGATTCGGATTGCGCGTTGGAGGTGTTGTTGTCATATTTGGGGTAGGTGATCATCCTTCCAAATCAGCTTCATTTGAAGTAAGTGATGCCGACATAGTACGCTCCCAATCACTATTATGCAACTGTCAGGGTTGTGTTGGAGGTTGGGATATCAAACTTTTCCTCTTTGGCGATATAACTTAGGCTGTTAAACCCCACAAAAGATAGAATATAATAAATTGTTCCAAAATACATTCTAATAGCATCTCATAAAGCTACAAAAAGGGAGTTTGATATCATTCCTACCCAGCAACTCACAGTGATTAACCTTGTTAGCCTACCATAATGGGCAATCATGCAGATTGGAGATTGCTCATAGAATTACCATGAAGACTTCAAATTTCAAAAGTAACTTGTAACATAAAAAAGAGATCCTTCTATCATACTTAAAGGAATTCCACTAATCTACACTCAAAAATTTTATTTGTCTCTTGCCCATCGACTGACCTGGTCGATTAAATATTGACAAAGTAACTGGCAAGTTAGGATCAATGTCGTCATCATTTAGGTTACGACCTATTCTTGTTCTTCTACTCTGCACATCATCGTCAAAATAAAATGATGCAAAGTGTTTTGCGTCTTCAAGCATATATGCATCAGCAATTGAACCTTCAACATATGTCTTATTTTTCATTTTGGACTTCAAGTGGTTGAGGGATCTTTCAAATGGATACATCCAACGATGTTGTACTGGGCCACCTAAACGTGTTTCATAAGGAAGATGGACAGGCAAGTGTTCCATGCAGTCAAATAGTGCTGCAGGGAAAAAAACGTTCTAACTGACACAACGTTAAAACAATCGATTTTTTCCAGAGAGGTTGTTGCGTAGGGGTAAATTTGTTTTAAAAAAATACCGTAGGGAATTTCCACCACCCAACTGATGTGGTCGGAGAGTTCTGACCACATACCAAGAGTGGTCGGAAATTTTTTACCACAAAAGGTGGTCGCTAATTATTGCGGACATGGCTAGAAAAATCGTAATAACTTACCGACCACCTTTGCGTGTGTCGGAAATTTGCGACCACTCTTTGGAAGTGGTCAGAAATCTGACCACTTTCCGACAACTCTAGTGCTTGACGAAAAATGGAAAAAAAATCACTTTTTGCGACCATATTTTGTGGTGGTAAAAAAAGTAGTCCGAGAATTGCTGATTTATAGCAGTGTTGCTTTCCAGAAAATCAAAGTCCAAGAATAAGCCCCACTTGCCTCTCGGACCGTCGGAAACCTGTTCCAGGTGGCTCGATCTAGGAAGACGTTTTTGAAGTACATGAGAGATCTGAAGCCGAAATGTGGCCCCATTTTCACTCTCAAAATGGGAACAAGGACGATGGTTATAATCATCAGTGCTGATTTAGCCCACGAGGCTCTCATCGTGAAAGGATAGATTTTCACCAGCCGCCCGAGGGAAAATCCGACCCGAACCATTTTTAGCAGCAACAAGTTTTGCGTGAACGTGGCGGTTTACGGCCTAGTGTGGCGCTCCCTGAGGAAGAACATCGTTCAGAACATGCTTAGCTTGGCCCGATTAAAGGAGTTCTAGAGCGCTAGATGCGCCGCCATGGATAGACTGATTGTACGGATTGAGAGTGAGGCCAATGCTAACGACGCTGCGGTTTGGATGCTGAGAAACGCCCAAGTCAACACCAATTGTCAATGAACCGGGTCAACACCAATTAGGAGAAAGGATCAAAAGACCATTTTGTCCCTCAGATTATAGACTAAATGTGGGATTAAGGTTTTCCGGCCAAATTTGTCCGGCAATTTAGCCGGAGTGATCAAAATTGACAAAAATTACATACTCAAGGTACTAAATTGACACTTTTGAAAGTCAAGTGCTGAAATTAACAAAGCCTTTATAGTGATATGACCAAAATTGAAATTTTCTCTATTTATAGAGTATAAAGGTACAATTGTACTATTATATTTAAAAATTAATAACGACGCGCTTAGCATATAGCCGTGATGCACAAGCTAATAATTAGAATACGTGGAGTACGGTATGTAATATACCGCAGAGCAAAAACTTTCCTTCATACTTTTCAAGTCCACGTTCGCGTTTGAGCAGTCACCCTCACTTTTATTTTTAATTTTTTTGTTTAATTTAAATTTATTGTAAACAATAAGATCTAATTTACTAAATGTTAATATGAAATGTCATGGAGTATTATTAGTTGATTGGATGAACAATAAAATTGAAGAGTTGGAGGGATGGTACTGTGATTAGAATGATCGCTACTGAACTCTTTCATCTCCGATTGTTATATCATGGAGTAGGGTTCATTTTGTATTATAGATTCTGATAAAAAAAATTATATTTTTCAATTAATATATTTTGTATCTACAGCTAACTATTTATGTCCTTGTAAACAATTGAAGTCACATAACATGTTAATTACAAATATGTAATATGTTAACTGCAGACATAAAGTATGTGGTTAAAATATTATGTGTTTACAATTAACATATTATGTGTCTATAGTTACAATAATATATGTTTTTATTTAGATTCACATATACTGTCAATTGAAAGTACAAGATATGTCAATTAGACAATTACAGACACATTATTTGAATTTTATTTTGGACTAGTGTCTACAATGTATGGTAGACTCTGGTCCGTGGTATAATATGCCTTTCACCTATAGTTAAAATTTCTGTAAATATTGTCCAATATGAATGGTTGAGTAGCTAGAGTATAATATTCATATCTAAAAGCAACAAGTTAAGTCTAATTTTTTACAATATATTCTTTGTTATTAAGTCTATAAAATTTACTTTTCTTTTATGTAATTTGTAGGCTGTTACACACGAGTGATCAATTCAAATATTGAATTGTGGCTCGGGGCAACTCTATATAAATAGCACATGCGGGAGATGGTTGCTACACTCACTACTTCAATTATATTCTGAGCCAAAGAGTAATTGAAGGAATCAGAAAATGAAGAATTACTCTTTCATTGTTCTGCTTCTTGTGATTCTTAATGTCCTAGCTGCTTCATCCGGAGAGAGAAAGGTCTCATATTTCATCTCTCTTTTCCTTTACATGCTTAGCTTGATCAATATATAAATGTATATTTCTCCCTGAATATATATATATATATATATATATATATATATATATATATATATATATATATATATATATATATATATATATATATATATATATATTGAAGTTCTTTTTTGGTCGATATGTTATTATCTGCAGCTTTATGTGGTATACCTTGGGGAGCACAGTGGGGGGAAATCTTTCAAAGAAATAGAAGATCACCATTGCTCCTTTCTCCACTCTGTCAAGGCTTCCACAGAAGAAACTAAAGCGTCTCTAGTTCACAGCTACAAGAACGTTATCAATGGCTTCTCGGCTTGGCTTACCCCTCAAGAAGCCGACAGGATATCAGGTATAAATACGTTGGACTAGGGGTGTAAACGAATCAAGTCCTTCATGAGCCGTTCCCAAACATCTCGGTCAAAATTTTATTTGAGATTCATAAAATCTGAGTTTGAGCATAGCTTGTTCTGAGCTGAGTTTGAGCTTAAATACATTTGGCTCATGACATGTCGAACCGCTCTCAAATTATATTATATAATTAAATATTATTATAATATATAATGCATGTATAAAATATAAAATATATACGGAGTATTATATAAATGAATTTTAAAATAAAATACTCGAGTTCAAGCTCAAAAATTTGAGCTAAATTCGAGCCCATTGAACACAGCTCGAGTGATATAAAAATTAATAAGCTGAACACAAATTTACATTTTAAAACGCATGTTGGAGTAAACACATAACACTATGACCACCATGGTACTATTACTTTTAATTTGTCGTTCATTTACCAATAAAAAGTTGGGTGTTGAACAGGAATGGAAGGTGTTATTTCAGTGTTTCATGACAGTCCCTTAAAAACAAGACCTCATACTACCAGATCTTGGGATTTTAACAATTTACTTGAAGAAATAAATGGTAATAATCCCATGGGCAGAGAAGAACTGTTGCACAAAGCACGTGGTGGACAGGATGTGATTGTGGGTATCATGGATTATGGTAAGATACTTCACTTCATTCAAATTCTGATTTAATTTTAATTTTAAGGAGTACGTCTTTACAAATTTGATACTATTAAGATTTTTATATACTTCTTTTCATACAAAGATTTTTATACACTTTCTTTTTTCCAAAGTATAATACTTTAAATTCGTATATCTCAAATATACTTCTGAACTTTTTTTCTCCTAAAGTTACTTGGATAAAGTATATACTGAGATTCAACCCCACAATTTCCTGTAGGAAAGAAATTTGGTGCTACTAGACCACAAGGTCATTAGCTTTCATTTGCTTGGTGAAAAGTGAGATTATCTTTAAATTTATTATAAAATTTAATATTTTTGTCAACCAAATTTAATTAATTTTTCTCAATTGAAATACATAAATTTATTTAAAATCTATTAAAAAATGATGCTTCATATATTATTAGGAAAAACCTTGAAAGATCGAGTCCAATATCTTGTCATCAAAATATGGTAGTAACGGTTAAGCAAGTATTAATGAAATAAAGCTGCAAATTCGGTATTGATTATATGTTTTGACGTTTTGACATAGTGGTAAACGCTTGATTCTGTTGTATATTATTATAAAATATTTGGAAAGAAATTATAAATAATAATTGATAGTAATTATTTGTTAAAAGCCTAAAATTTGAAAAAAAAAAAAAAAAAGAAAAAAAAAAGAGATATAATATAACAAAGAGCAATGCTACAAATCTGTCGAATATTTTTCCTACAAATTTCCTCTCTTGAGATATCATCATCCGATCGATATTTAAATTTATTTATTAGTTAGTGGTAAAGTTAGTCAATTCATTAGCACCAATTAATGAAAGCCACATCATTGGAGGTAAAAACCAAGGAAATGTTTTCCTATAACAAAATAGTCGTCATTCTAATGTCAAATTAAAGTTGATATTATAAAGGCATATTATGAAATTTTGGTATTTGTTTAGCTTTTAGTTTATTAGAGCTTATTTGCTCTAAGAGGATATATTGAACTACAAACTTCATTCAACTAAAAAAAAATGTAATTGACTCTTTAAAAAAATCAAAATCATACAATTGAATAAAAAATTGAGTGTTTCTACAAGTTAAGAGGCGATTAACCTTTAATAAATTATTTATTTTATTAATTTTAAATATTAAAAAAAATTAAAAATTAAAAAAAAAAAAAAACCCAACACTCACCTTGTCCTCTGTCGTTGCTAAACTTTCTCTCCAACTAGAGACGAACTGCACATCGTCTTTGACTAGAGATGAAGTGTAGGCTTATCTCTAGGCAGAGACAGATTGCATATTCATCTCCAATTGGAGACAAAGTGCCGTCTTCGCTTGGAGACGAACTGTAAAATTTGTCTCCAACTAGATACGAACTTCAGTTTGTCTCCAGCTTGAGATGAAGTGTAAACTCCGTCTCCGACCAAAGATGAACTGTAGAATTCGTCTCCAACTAGAGACAAACTATACTTCCACTTCGCTAGATTTGAAGTGCATATCATCTCCGGCTGGGGACAAAGTGCTGGCTGGCTTCGTCTCTTGTTGGAGACAAAGGGGAGGGATAGAGGGTATGGGTTGGGTTTTTTTTTTTTTTTTTGCTTTTTTTTTCTTTCCTATTTTTAATATTTAAAACTAATAAATAAATAAAATAATTTATTAAAGGTTAACCGCCATATTAGCGATTAACCGAGAGGACTAGAGCTGTCAAAACAGGCCGATAGGACGGTTCAAAAAAATTCGCTCTTTAACGGGCCTTGGTTTTGCTGGCCCGTCCCGCTCCGCCCTTGGGCCGTGGGCTAGGCGAGCCCCCACCACCCAACCAAGTTCATCAAACATTATATATATATATATATATATATATATATATATATATATATATATATATATATAGCCCACGGCTCGCCAAGCTCGGATGCCAAAAAGTCTGCTCTTTGACGAGTCTCTATTTTTGAAATTAAACTCAGTTCCTACCTAAGTAGGGGCAGGCGGGCAAAACCCGTTTTGATGGCTCTATGGAGGACAAGTCACTTTTAACGCAATTATAGGTGGTTTGTTGGGGGAGTCAATTACATTTTTTTAGTTTAGTAATTATGGTCCAATTGTATTTTTTGTGTCATTGACTAATTTGACCCTTATTTATTTTTAGTTTTATTTGAGCTTTCTTTACGATCTTCTTCTTCCTCTCCTATTTTTAAGATGATAACACTGCATAATGAATAATTTTATTTTCAAAAAAATTATCTTTTCAAAAATTGAAAAATATTTTTAAAATATCATTTTTATAAGTGATTTGTAAATATTGTGATTTAAAACTTTTATAAATTTTTACAAACTCTATACAATGTCAAAAAAAATGTTCTATAAAAGTCATTAAACATTGATTATTTTAAACGTTTACAAAAATCTACAAGACCTTGATTAATTACACCCAAAATCTCTTTACTTCTTAGTTTAATTCATATCCCCATCCAATTAAATACTTTAACTTCTTCCATTTATTTACATTGTTGATATTAGGTGTGTGGCCAGAGTCTCCAAGTTTTAGTGACAGAGGTATGGAACATGCACCGATACCTCTTTCGTGGAAAGGAGTATGCAAAGAAGGTCATGCCTTTACCTCATCTCATTGCAATAAGTGAGTTGTCTTTTAATTTATAATGTGTTCTCTATTCAAATTATTTTATCAAATTAATTATGTTTCAAATATTTTGTTATGAATATTTTTATAAAATTTTGATGTGTTTTATTTTCACTCATATTCAACAATATTTACATGTATATTTCTTGGGTAATTTTTTTTTTAAATGATCTTTTTTGTTTTCATGTTTCGTCTTCACTCGAAAAAATTTATGGACTCGTCCCTGTTTCTTCACCCCGCTCAACAGAATTCCTTGCTTCGTCCCTGCCCATTCCTTAGAGCTAAACATGTCAACCAAACACACCCTATGTTATACAAAAGAGGAGTTATTAAAATAATTTTCTTCTTTATCGCTTGAAAGTTATTCTTTTATAGAGTATTCTGGCAATTACATTCCCTATCTTTTCAACATTTCTGCTATTGACTTTTGGGTGTGTTTGGTTGAAGGGTTTTGCCCATAGGAATGGGTATGAAAGTGATTATTATTGTTTGGTTAATAAATTTTTAGAACACTACGGGTTTCGAATACCCCATCAATTGAAAAACTCATATCCAAATAAAATAAGGGTTTCATTCCTTATTCATTCTCAAGCACTACTATTACTAACTATTCCCATTCCACCCTATTACCAAACATGTTAAATACTTTTACTAAAACTCATTACCATTACCAAGTATTTGATACACATCCCGATTCCAATTCCCATGTGCGAACCAAACACACCCTTTATGTCATCACCTTTCTATTTCTAGTCTTTTGCTTTTAGAGCAACCCTAAATAATACTCCGTATAACAGGAAACTAATTGGAGCTCAATATTTTCTGGAGAGTTTCGAAACTACCTATGGTCCCCTCAACCAGAAAATAGACTACAGATCAGCAAGAGATGTTGATGGCCATGGAACTCACGCGGCATCAACCGTTGGAGGTCAGAGAGTTCCTAACGCTGCCGCTTACGGTGGTTTCGGCAATGGGACTGCCTCCGGCGGGGCACCACTCGTGCGCCTCGCAATCTATAAGGTCTGCTGGCGGCTTCCCGACCACAGTGGAGACAGTTGCCAAGACGGTGACATTCTTAAAGCATTCGACCAGGCAATCTCCGATGGCGTCCATGTAATCAGCGTTTCCCTGGGTGCCGTGCCTGAAGAAGGGTATCATACACAAAATGCCATAGCCATCGGAGCATTACACGCAGTGAAGAACAACATTGTAGTGTCATGCAGTGCCGGCAATGATGGACCCAAGAAATCCACGGTGGAAAATGTGGCGCCTTGGATAATCACGGTGGGGGCAAGCAGTATGGATCGATTGTTTTTGTCACCTTTAAAGCTAGGAAACGGCATGGTTATTGAGGTAAGACCGCCGCTCTAGTTTGGATAGAATTTGTAAGTTTGTGGTTGACTAACTTGGTTCTGTTCTGTTCTTGCATTTTTTTTTCTTTAATTTGATGAATTTTATTTTTGAAATACCCATACTTGTTTATAAGATAGTATCTGATTGATACTTTCTTTTGATGAATTATTTAATCCTTAATTAAATTTTTTAACTGTTGAGCGGAGGCCTGAACGGTCAAGTTCAGCGACGGTGGATTGTTGGGTAGAGATCAAAAGGATCTTATATAATACCCTCTTTTAAATGTGAGACTACCTATTATTCAAATATAATAAAATAAAGTTATATATTTACTATTTGATATAACTTTTAACTTAATTAGTGATAAATACTTGATCTTAACAGTAAACTATGACTTACATATGAGTAACATAGTTTTTGTTCACAAACAGGGACAAACAATCACTCCTATTAATATGAGAGGAGAGATGCTTCCACTAGTTTACGCGGGCGATGTAGAAATTCCTGAAAAGACCAATAGCGCTACTAGCGGGTAAAATATAATGCATTCATGCACACAATCTATTTCATTTTATACAAACTAAAATTACACCTTTTTCCATAAGTTATAAATATTAATAAGATTCGTACCTATTTTTATTTTGTTTTTGTTTTTGTTTTTGCTTTTGTTTTTTACTATTGGGTATATATTACAATGTAGTATCTATTCATACATATTTTATATTGTAGTATTTGTTCATACATAGTTTCTTGAAAGATTTGAAAGTCACAGGGGTGCACCTCTTGTCCCTACTCACTACTGGAAATTATGAAATTTCCGACCACCTGAAAGTGATCTTAAATCAAGTTGATACCAAAAAGTGGTTGAAAATAGCAACAAAGGTTTTTCCGGATACCAAAAGTGGTCGGAATAAGGTTTTCGACTTGATTTAAGATCACTTTCAGGTGGTCGAAAATTTCATAATTTCCAGTAGTGACCCTATAACTGACGTTGCAAATTTCATTTTTTTTTCTAACAGGTTGTGCTCACTTCTTATCCATAAGTTATGCCTGATATTGTAAATTTTGTATCAAATGTTTTGTTAGAAAAAAAGGATGAAACTTGCAACATTAGTTATAACTTAAAGACTAGAAGTAAGCATGACCAACAAGTATGAACGAATCATAAGTTAGGAACAAAAAGTGTAGTTTTTCATGCCTCAATTTCGCATTCATATATATATATATATATATATATATATATATATATATATATAGAGTTAGGATCATATGAGAACATGTGCTTAGGTGAGAACGTGAGAACACATCATGTGCATCCATCTAATATTTTTTAATGGTCTAGATTAGATTAAGTGTGTGCGAACGCGCATTAAATGTGTGCAAACACACTAAATCGCATTTGCACACATTTAATGCGCGTTCGCACACACTTAATCTAATCTAGACCATTAAAAAATATTAGATGGATGCACAAGATGTGTTCTCACGTTCTCACCTAATGACATGTTCTCACTGGAACTCTACCATATATATATATATATATATATATATATATATATATATATATATATATATATATATATATATATATATATATATATAAATATAAAAGTTCAAATGCAGTCACGTCTTTTCGTGCGGCCACTAGGCATCAATAGTGTTAGAAAAATGCATAACAATGAAATCCACAAATACACCAAAAAACACATAAAACACCAAAAAAAAAAAAAAAAATGCATCATAACTCCGCACACCCTAATTGTGCTTTTCCCAACAGTGTGGGGTGCTTTTATTCATACTTAATGGTGCATTTTTTATGATACATACCTAATTTGTGTATTTTTTTGTTGTGCATTTCTTAACATTGTTGGTACATATTTGCATAATAACTATTATATTGGCGCGGCCAAACTAATTGCACGGGAAGGCGCGACTGTACTCTCTATATATATATATATAACATTGAGGATTCAATCAAGTAATCCTGCATGCAGGCTATGCAAAGCTGGTACTCTTTCTGAAAACCTCGTAAGAGGAAGGATTGTCGCTTGCCGGAGTAGCGATACCATATCAGCATCGCAAGAGGTGCAAAGAGCTGGAGGCGCTGCTACCATACAACTCAGTCCATTTGATGAAATACAAGTCCAAGCATTTTTGTCTCCGACAACTGTTGTTTTTAATTACGAGTTCAATGAGATTCTCAAATACATAAGGACCGATGTGAATCCGACGGCTACTCTTCTTCCGGGAGAGACGGTCCTAGGAGCCAAGCCAGCACCTGTCATGGCTCCTTTCAGCTCCCGCGGTCCAAATACTGTTGAACCAAACATTCTCAAGGTATGTCTTGCTCAACTGTTTTCGTTTTCTTTTACTGTTCAGTACTTTAGCTTACTGCTTACATCTAGGCAAATTAAATCATAGAGCATAATCCACCTTGCATTATCAATTATGTTTCATTATTATAATACTATTATCACTTATGTTTCATTATTAAAATACTATAATAGTATGTATAAGTATGTTTAGTATTATAACAATATTGTAGGTTTATTAATGACATCATTGTGCATATTATCATTTACACTTTATTCTTTATTTTTTATAAAAATAAAATTAATATTACAAAATAAATTATTAAAAATATCTCATTAAGATCTTTTAAATGATACTCATATTAATGTTTTTTAATCTTAGTTGTTTATTGATGAATTTGCAATATTGATAAAATGAACATTCAGCATTGTGAAAAATGAACTTCCAATATTCTCTTAATGAACCAATTTTTAGTTCATCAACTATATGACGTAGTCACATTATTATTGTAAGATGAACATTCAGTATTATAAAAATAAACCACCAATGTTGTGAGAATGAACCTGTAGCGTTTCATTAATGAATCTATTTGAGATCCATTATTACAGTGTAGTTGCATTATTGTGAAAATAAACATGTATTTTGAAAATGCGTTTGTAGTATTGAGAAAATAAACATGTTATGTTTGCTTAATGAACTTATTTAATATTAATTTTATTTGTATAATAAAGTAAAAAAAAATTGGGTGATTTTTTATTTTTTTATTTTTTTTTCACTTTGTGGGTTGCAGCCGGACATTACTGCTCCTGGATTTAACATATTAGCAGCATGGAGTGGGGTGGCATCTCCCACGAATTTGGCATCTGATCCTCGACGGGTAAAGTACAACATAATATCAGGAACTTCAATGTCTTGCCCACACGTCTCTGCCGTAGCTGCCCTTCTTAAGGCTATTCATCCTCATTGGAGCAGTGCAGCCATAAGATCAGCCATAATGACCACAGGTATATATGCTTCGCTATTGTGTCTTGCCCACATGTCTTACCATTGTTTTATTAGACTACAAAAACATTGAGCATTTGTGTTTGAACATAGTACTTAATTAATTTGTATAATTGTGTACCAAATCCAAAAGAATTTATTTGATACTAAAAATAGCCATTTTCCTAATATACTCCTGACTTTACAAGGTGGCAGCTAATACAATTCTTATACGATGTACCAGGGTTAATCTTGCATTTGGACTCTGAGCCAAAAATTATATGTCTGTAGTTGACATATTCTATATCTGCCGTTAATAGTTTATCTGTCTGTAAATAAATTGAAGACACATAATATGTTAACTACAAACACATAACATGGTAATTATAGACACAAAATATATGTTAACATATTATGTCTATGCACTTAACATATTATATGTATGCAGTTACCATGTTACATCTCTAGTATAGGTAGGATTGTTTGTGTTCTGGTTTTGATTAACCATTCAAATCGGAATTTTTTTTTTTTTTTTTGAAAGTTACTGGCTCTATTACATTGTAGTATCTGTTCATATACTTTCTCAACCTACTGAAACACAAAGAACCAATAATGCCTCCACCGAGGCTTGAACTCATAATCTTCCAAATGGAAGTCCAACCCGGATACCATTAGACCACATAGTCCTGGTCAAATCGGAATTTAATTCAACTAATAGATTATAAACTAAATTAAGTTCGATTTACCAATTGATTCTAGATTTTTAGAAAATTTGATTTTCAATTATTTCAATTCAAAAGTTTAATTTTGACTGAATTAACCAAAGATTTACCAAAATATATAATTATCTTTTTTTTTTGTTTGTTTTTGTCTGTTTGGTTTTGTTTTGTTTTTGTTTTTTTTTTGTTTTGTTTTTTGTTTTGTTTTGTTTTGTTTTGCTTTTTTGTTTGTTTTTATTTTATTTATTTATTTATTTTTTGTGTGTATGTGTGTAGCAACTAGTATTAATGTGATGGAGGCACCAATAGAGAAGTCAAATGGATATTCCGCCGGACCATTTGAATATGGATCAGGGCATATTTTACCGTCAAAATCAGCAGATCCCGGGCTGGTCTATGATGCAAGTTACGAAGACTATCTTCTCTTTATTTGCAACAGCAATTTCAATCTTAAAAATTTCGGTTCTTTCAAGTGCCCAGAAATTTCTGCCTCTGCTAGTAACCTTAACTATCCATCATTATCAATAGCCAAGCTCAAAGGATCCATGACAGTTAAAAGAACAGTCACTAATGTTGGAAAAGACAACTCAATGTACAATGTCACAATTTCACCGCCATTTGGTTATGACGTTACTATTTCTCCGATGACCTTAAGGTTCAACAGCTAGGGAGAAAAGCAAAGCTTCCATGTAATCGTCAGAGCTAAAGGAGTTGAAAAGAGAAATGGGTCTACCTTCGGTTGGTACTCGTGGAGTGATGGGGCACATGTTGTGCGTAGTCCAATTGTAGTATCATCAGCATAAGGTGGTCCAATATTAATTCAACTTGAGCAACGATATGATATTTGGGTAATGCGAGCAAAGAGTACTATCCTGGATTATTATTAACCAAGAATGATAATGAGAAATTGCTGTTTTATTAATAATTTTATCTATTCGATAAAGAGTAAAGACAATTAGAGTTGTGCTATATGATTTATCGATCTACATAAGAATAATGCAATTTTCTCATGCTTTATAATTATCTAATGGCATTTGTCTCATTTTGATTTAAGATAATGGCGTAATTATTCATCAACATGAATGAGCACAAGTAATTGTCCCAGTTGAAAGGTAAAAAATCTAGGTGATGAATAGATTTTTTAAACTTTAAAAACTTGGTATAAACAATTTTAAAAGTTGGCTACGTAAGTTAACTTTTTAGTACTACGTACCAATGGTGGTTATGTTGAAGAGTTAACTAAATAGTCAATGTTAGAAGTATTTAAGAAAACATTACACAACGGAATTTTGATTTTTAAAAATTATTGAGTAATTGGCAATGAAATATGCAATGGTGAATAAAGTGCATAAAGTTTAAAAAAAAAAAAAAAAAACTAGGAATTTATAATGGTTCAAAGGTGGTGTAATCCCTCTACTCCACACACTTCACTTATTGTTCAAGTGGAAATTTATTAGTGAACTTGTTCTCCCAACAATAACAAGTTGGAACGAAACAAGTGCTTTGATCACAGAGCCAACATTGTTTGCTCATGTTTTCACAACGCTTTCACCAATTAAGCTTGTTACTCATCGATCCTTTATCAGCACTCAATGTAGAGAACTATAAAATTCAACAGTGGTTGAATATCTTCCAACGAAATGAGACTTGAAAAGATCTTGATCTTTGTTAAGCTCAAATGTAGTATCTTTGATGAATTAGATGATGACGAGTGAGAACTCTTTTTAGAATGCTTGAATTTTTTTATATATATTTTTAATATAGAATGCTTGAATTTATCTCTATGTATCTCACTGTTACTTCTTTAAGATTTCACTGTTTCTCTTACCCAAAGGCTGAATCCCCACCCCTAAGGGCCCCTTTCACTGTTTCTCGAATTTTATTGGATTATTCAAATTTATAGGACTTCTTTACTGATTTGTGTTCTAACTAAGAAGTTAACTATTCCAATAATAGAATATGTAACAAATGTAAATCAAATGATATGAAATGAACTACACACACAATTTGTTGACCCAGTTTGATGCATTCAGCATCGACGTTTAAGGAACCACTAACGGTGTGTGACTCCAATCTAGTATTTCAATCAATGTTTGAATAGATGGTTGATGACTATTATTTTATACTATATTTCATCCCATGCATTCTTAACTCCTTTTTAGGTTCTTTTCAAAGTGTTTATTTGGGGTTTTTAACAAAAAAATGTGTTTTATGCTCAGTTGCACCCAAATACACTCTTGAGAGAGGAAATTGGAAAAGGAAGAAAAAGCTTAGCAAAACGGAGCAAAAATGCATGGAAAAGAACACGTAGAAGCAAACCTGGGAAAAGACGCGCAAAAGGAGCACAAACGAACGGAGTTCGTAGAGTGGAGGGCCTGGAGGCAAAGCCATGCACGGGCAGTGGTACGCATGTGTGCTCACCGTGCATAAATCACCAGCGCGGCTAGCTTTCTACACGGGCACTTTGTGCCCGTGCCATGCCAGTGCACTCGCACAGGCATTGGCATGCCCATGCAGGTCTAGTGCTTTGAACCCTGGAATTCCCCAATAAATTGATCTTTTTCCTATTTTGGTAGATAAAGCCTAGACATTTTGTGCAAAACAAAAAGATATGTTCAACGCCAAATAAGTCCCCAACTGCTGGAAAATCTGACAAGTCTACCTAACCTCCGGATTACCCGCTGGTCTTTACTAACTGGGTAATGGCCGTTTGAAATTGGTTTCCCTCCAACGGACCTTTTTCAACGCGCTTATAAATACCTCTACTCAAAGAGTAAGAAGAAGCTGGTCAATTTCTTGAAACTTTCTAAGTATTCAAAGCATCCTAAAAGCTGACATCTAATGACCAATGAGAGAGATCAAAAGCTTAAAAGTTCACATCCAATTTCAAGAGGCTTGTGCTGCGTAGACGTGAAGATCAAGACACTCATAGCCAAGCTCTTTACTTGGAGAAAGAAGAAACTTTATTCTTCAACCCCTGTATTCTCTACAAGGAAGAAGTAGAAAGAGGCGGAGTAGATTGGTGATAGTCGAAAAACCTGTTGGAGTTCAAGGTCGGCTTCGTGTTCAAGGCTTGAACGTCCTTTGTACTATCGGAATAGTGCAAACCTCCTCCTTTGGGGTTTAAGGAGAGAGTGGAGTATGATACTGTTGCCGAACCACTATAAAAATCTCTCTCTCTCTCTCTCTCTCTATATATATATATATATATATATATATATATATATATATATATATATATATACTTTATTCATTACTTGCATTGCATACTCTATCACGAACAAAACTAATTTCATTTCTAGATTTCGTGTTCCCCGCGGGCAGGAGCATGGGTAGCGGCTACCTGTGGCCCCTACCCGTGAGGAACACAGGTATTCGGGGCTTGTACCCCGCGGGCAGGGGCACGGGTAGCCGTTACCGTGGTCCCACCCACAGAGAACGTCGTATGTTGACATCGGGGAATTGTTTCCCTGTGATCCTTTCTTCTTGGTATTTGATGTTTTAGCCTTCCTTTGTTGAATGGTTGAGCCTTTGAGTGCCTTCTTGATGTTTCGTATGTCTAGAACGATGTGTTAGGAATCCATGTTAGGATTTGATGTCTTGAATCGTGCTAACGGTCCAACCTTGTGATTCGTTGGATTGATGATTGAGTCTTTGTGATTCGTTAGAATTATCTTGGTTTGCCTGTTTGATAAGCATGCCAGTTTTGATGTCGTTATGCTAGTATGTGCAGTTTGTTCCTTCTTGTTGAGGATGGCAACTTGTGTTGTCCATCGTGTTGGTCGTGGATTGGAGTCCACCGTGATTGTTGAGTATTGTCTCTTGCAATTCATTGAATTCTCTTGATTGACTCTTGTGATTGGATCCTGTGTGATCATTGAATTCTGTTGATACTTGATTGGGCTATTGATGAGCCTCAATCTTCTTGATGATGACTATGTGTGACTATGATGAAATTGGTGGTTTGTTATTGAGCTTTGCTAATGAGTTCGGCGGTATGTGACTATGATATTTAATGGTACCCTCGTATACTTAGAGTTCAGTGGTATTGTTTGGCGGTAGTTTGGCGGGGGACGACGGTCCTAGGAGGTAAAAGGTTGGACTCAGAAGTACAGGGTGGCACTCGGAGGTACAGGTTGGAACTGTGATAAGGCCGGGAGTAGGAATAAGGGTGGTACTATGGAATAAGGTCGGACTTGGTACTTGTTATTGAGATGTGTTGATCATTATGATGTTGTTGTTGTATTCCTTGCTTTGAGCATGTCTATGGTGAACACTACCTCGTGAAGGGTAGGTTACACCTAGAGTTGTGTTGTCACTTGTTGTTTGTCATTTCTCTTATCTTGATGAGGTTGTTGGTCTTAATCCTTGTTGAGAGTGCTTATGAGTCTACTGTGGTTTCACTCTTGGTTTTCAAATGATTTATATATGGTATTCCCCGTTTCAACTGCTTTTGATTATATCTATCTATAATATGATACTTAACGCGTATTGGTAGGTTACCAGCATTATTCGCTGACCGGGTGCCATCCCTTATCTATATGTTTGTTTACAGGTTTTGCTTAGTGGGAGAGCGCGCTAGTGGAGACGGTAGCTAGTGTAAATTATTGTTAAAAAATTATTTTTAAATTAATAACCTTCTATTCGGGTAAACAAGTAAATTTTGGGTCAAATTGCATAAATTTGTGTTGTTCAAGGACTCAATTGCATTCTTTTTGAGTTGGATGGCTTAATTGCATATTGGTGTGCAGTTGGGTGGCCTATATGACCCTTATTCCATATATTTATAACACATATAAACTTTTCTATGTCAAAATGTCAGAAAATCAAATGAGAATTGAAGAGAAACTACTTAATTCAAAAGAGTCATTACTAACCTATGTTGCAAGGAAGCTTTCAAACATTGATTGGCATTTTTGTAATGCGTTCTTTCACGAATTTACAAAAAATTCCTAAAGTTAAAAATTTTAAAGTTATATTTTTAATTTTTAAAAATTTGAAAGTATTTTTTTCCAAAAACAAATCTAATAAACAATTAATATTTATACATATTTGTAGAAAAAAAATATTTTTAATCACATATCTCATATGCCTTATATTTTCTAGTTTTCCCAGTTCCTTACAACCTAGTGACAGAATAAATTATGTTGTGGAACCGTGTCCACCTTGCAAGATGGACATGGTTCCAAAATTGTTCATAATTGTGAATATAGAGTTTAAAAATTATGAACATAGAGTTAATTATGAATATAGAGTTCTATAATTATGAACATAAAGTTCTGTAATCGTAAATATAGAGTTTAATAATTGTAAAAAAGTTCAAAAATTATGAACATAGAATTTTATAATTATGAAAATAGAGTTCAATAATTATAAATATAGAATTCTGTAATTATGAATATTGAGTTCAATAATTGTGAATATGAAGTTAAAAAATTATGAACATAAAATTTTATAATTACAAAGTAAACACGATTCCACGATATAACAATTGGACGACCAATGCGTGGGTCGTTGTCTTTGTAGAGACGAAGACCCAAATGTTTGGGTCTTCGTCCAGTGATTTTAATTTGAAGGATCCGTGCAGTGGTTGGGTCATTGAATAGTCATTAATGGTGAAAAGTAAATTGGAAAATTCAAAGAGCCATTAATGGAATTTATGATGATTTTAGAAGGTTGATATAGACGGTAGAGAGTAAAAGAGGTAGAAGATAAGGGTTGACTTTAATTGTTGGAAGTCTTTGTTGTCTTTTAGTAATTAGTTGTTGTCAATATTTATCTATTTTTATTAATTTAATAATTCATAGATAGATATTCAAAAATCATTGCAGAGATTGAGCTTCAAAAAATAATGAATGGTCTTATCAATACATAAATGTATAACTTCTCAAGGATTTCAATTGCGTTCTTCAATAATCATAATAATTAGTATAACTCCCAGGAATTTCAA